CCCCAAAACCCCAAAACCCCAAAACCCCAAAACCCCAAAACCCCAAAACCCCAAAACCCCTTCAACAAAATATTATGTTGAATTAATTGGATTTTTATCAGGAAGTGCTCCAATTGATCTCTATCGTAAAGTGCTAAAGTGTCTGAATAAGTCTACTGCATCTCAATATGCAGCAGAAAAGAGGTACATCTTTAGATTCCTTCAATAATTCAGTTACTTAGCATAACGATAAAAATCAAACTTTTGGATTGCGCAAACCTTTGTCAATAGAGGAAAAGCAAAAGTTAGTTAGGACTATCTTGAGACTCTTCCTTCTTACTACTTTGAATTTGTTTCATGAGCTGCTCGCTAATTTTTTTCATTTCCTCAACCTCCTTCTTTAATTTCTCTCTTTCCTTTCTCTCATCCTCAATTTGAGATTCAAGCTCACTGATGTATTTGCTTGAAGTAGAAGATCTGAAAGATCTTCTAGAGCTTTTACTTTTTGTGGAAGGTACAGCAGCCTTACTAGGTTTCTCAGGGAGATCTAAGACTTTATCAGCAAGCTCAGACGCTTCCTCCTCTTTTACAGCAATAGAGCTTTCTGCTTCCTCCTTTTTCTCCTCAGGTACTTCTTCTAGGGGAGGTTCTTTTATTCTTTCCATAGTCTTGGTGACTTTTAATCCTTTCTTCACCTATAGAAAATTTATCCTTCAGAGGAGTAAATACTAATGTAAGTTTCAAAGGTAAAGGTTTAGAGTTATACTAAGTTCAAGTAGTTATTTGCTCAATGGCCATACCTGTCTTGACCTTTTGCTGCCCTTCACACTATCAATGGCCGATCTCATAACTTCAACCTCTTGGTCATTCATATTCTCAATTGTATCGATGAGGGCTTTCTTAATGTCGTCAGCCCGGTCTGAAACCTGAGACAGATGGGACCCATCTACCTTCTTCTGCATCTTAGATGTCAGGTTCTGTGGCAAGAACTTGTTAGAAGCAATTGTAGAAAAATTCTTTGGTTTGAGGTTTGATTTTCCAGATTTAGACTTCTTACTATATACAGAGTATTCACTTGCTGTGTCTTCATTAAACCTGTCTTTCTTGATTTTAGGGAGAACAGTATTTTGATGCCCTTCTTTCTTTCCTGATCAATGTGCTTTCATTAAATGCCCTAATGACCTATTTCTTCCCAGCTTAGAAGATGCCTGTGATAGTGTGTCAACCTTGCTCTTAGCAATATATGCCTGATGGAAGAATGGCTTTGCCTTAGGGTACTTATAAGTATTCATAACATCACCACTGCTTACAGATGCCATCAATTCATCAAGCTCTCTCCTTTTCAAAGAATTGGTAATTTTGCGCATAGATTTAGAAAGTTTAGTGTTATTTGGACTGTTCATCGTGTTATATGTGGATTGGAAAGAATTCACAGTATCCTCTTTAGCTCCTTTTGCAAGAGACTTTCTATAAGACTCTAATCTCTTATACTTGTCCTTTTGAGTACAGTCCATTGTTTGCATCATCTGCTTCAAGTCATATTTTGCAATTCCATTAGGGTCTGAGAACCTGTAAGGAGCACAAAGCTTATCGGCTAAACCCTTAAGTGGAGAGTTTTCGTCATATTTGAGAGGCAAGAACTTCCTCTCAAACTTTTCTGCTTTGGTAACTTCTTTATTCACCCTCTGCTGCCAAGCAAGATGGTCAGATGCATAACTCATTTTATTTTTATTTGAAAGTGTATTATATCAATAATTGACTTTAGAAAAGGGGTTTTGGGGTTTTGGGGTTTTGGGGTTTTGGGGTTTTGGGG